AGTGCTTTCACATAAACTAAATTCAAGCAAAAAGGCCGTTCAAATGCACCAGGCGGAACTTTCAAAGCAGGCGAGCAAGCATATAAAGTAGTAGGTCTGTGGGACTCCAGTTAATACCAGCATTAGTGATTCCCATTACCTCATGATACAAAAGATGTCGGTCACACCATTCTATGAGTTGCGTCCATGAAGGACGATTCGATCGCAAAGTAACTGCTACACGGTGAAAGTCCACCTCTTAACCCTCAAGCATCCGACAGCGCAAGCAAATAGCGGGCTACTGTTAAGTGCAACACGGTGATAAATGATAATCTGGGCTATAATCTCTTTTAAACATAATCTACTCACCGGTGAAGTACACTTTGCCAACTGCTATCAGTTCATCCAGAGCCTGTTGGATCTTCGCCCTCGACGGCAGTTGTACGCCGCTGTACCACGTCTGCAAACGAGCACAAATTGCCTCAAACGACGTCACAGGGTGAGAGGGTTGAGAGTTTTTCTCTATTTCCTCAGCAGTACAGGTGTCCGTGGATACAGGTCTCTTTATTCTCCTTTTGCCGAGGTGACCGTTCGAATCGATAGTCTCTTGAAGGCCTGTAGCTTTGGAGTCTAGTTGGAAACCCTTTTCCGATGCTCCCTGTACATCGCTGCCCTTCTTCAGACTAACCACCGAGAGGTCGTAGATGACATGGCAAAGAGCGTCGTCCAAACGCATAAATTCGCACTGAATTATCCGCCTCGCCTGTATGCCTCCTGAGAGTTCCCCTAAAGAAAAACGCCTGGATTAGTAGGAGATCCTAAGATAGGTTTCGAGGAATCTGTTGGTTTATAATTGTTCAACCCACTTCCCCTTTAAGTAAAATTTTGTGTGTGATGAAGAAATTCGAAGGTGGATAAAGCCAGAATACTACCGCGAATTCCTATTTCCCAGCTGCCAGTCGGCTTTGCCGAAACAATGTGATTAACGCTGTCCTCAAGGCAATCCCCTTCAATTTAGCTGAAAGCGGCTATGCTTTCGTCCATGATATGAGTCTCATCATCATTCTTGCAACCATAGTCAAGCTAATTATCAAGACAACTTACCGACTCATCCCTAAATGTTGTATATATACCCCAAAGCTATGAATTTTTGTTAGGTCTAAAGTGATGTGGTTGGTTCAAGTCATATTTCAATATAAATCTGATGCGTGTGTCTGTTCGTGCAGAAAAAGTGTAGCCCTACATTTTGGTTAAAAATAAATACCACCTTAAGAAATTATCATTGCATAATCTAGCTGCGTCAAAGTCGGATTATGCACTTAACAGGTAACAGATGAAAGTAAAAAAATCTCTTTTCCGTTCTCAAGACTTTATAATTTTTGTATGTTATAAAACTTCTCTAAGTACAAGGAACAATTGTCACTGCGATGAATCAATTACTTATAGTTCGAATCACTGTATGACCCTAACCATAGATTACCTACTACAGGGAACTCTAACATGCTTGCTGGTTAGGTCACCGCACATATATCTATATCCTATAATTCAAAATATTGCCATTATAGGAAGAAATAATTTTTGCAGAAATCAACTTCAAACCGCAACGAATACCTTTTTAGAAACTTTCTATATGCTACAACCTTAACTTTAAAACTGAATGTCTTAAAATTTCCCAAGAATTTTAATTCAAGGAAGGTTCAGGAACAACAGACGAGTTAAGATATAATCATGAGGGCTTGCGAAAAAATAGACAGATATAGTGAAATTCAAGAAAGTAGTACTCTCCCCAAATCGAAATAAACATATTCTTATAAGAATATAGAGACAAAAAGAATTTGCTAGAAAGTCGAATTAACGTAATATATATAAGCGATATTCTACATCTAAGCCGGTGTAAATAAGATATGCTTTAATTATTCGAGGAGTAATGACCAGATAATACTCTCCTTCTCATCAGTAAATAAGCTTTGGTGTGACTATTGTTAATTCCAAACCATGCGTCTCAATATATAATCGTTGCAATAAGAAAGGAACACCTTCAAACAAATATGTTTAGGAATGCCTTCTCGATATTAAGCTAGCAAAGCAAAACGCCTTCAGAATGATAAGATAATAGAGCAATATTTTAGAGATGGCGATTATTCTATTTTAATTGGCTCAATATCTAATTAAACACATAACATTGAAATAACTTAAGCTTAAATAAGACTTGAAATGAAAATATGAATGGCCAACACAGGCTATATTTAAAGGTATATAGGAATAAGTTAAAATAATATAAACAAAAGGACTTATTCAATAATAATTTTATCGTAGCTTAAAATATAGGAACCAAAACATGGAGCGGATGTTTTAAAATAAGGAAATGTTTAAAAAAATAAAGAATCACATAAAAAAATAAAGAAAAGCTAAATATAAAAAGTCACTTTTCTAATACTATTAATTAAAATGCATTATAATTAAAATATAAAAGAGCTTCGTATTTCATAAAGGATAGAATAAGCCCAGAACTGTAATGAAATAATGCAACACTTAATAAAAATAAGCAGTGTTGTTACTCTAAATAAGAAGGTTAGAATTGCTCTCGCCACAACATAAATATCAGATAAGGACAAAGTATCCATGAGGATTTAGATATAATACATATTAATAAGAAACTTGAGATAAATCCTTAGAATTTAAAGTATATACTACGAAATAATTTATAGACCTAGCTAAATACTTAACTAAAAGTATAGGCTAAAAGCAAAATAATAAGTATGCGCTATTAAATGATAAAATAATAGACAAAAGAATGTGC